CTTGGATTGCCTTCTCGAAGTCGTCCAATTCGGAAGACTGAGGAGAAGGAGAATGCGAAATTTGGAGGATGACGGTCGACAGGGAGCAAAAAGATCGTGGGAAGGAGAAGGGGGTTCTGGAGAATAGCTGGGAAAATATTAGGTGTACAAATAAGTTTCCGCCGTTTGACAAAAGTTGGCGCCACCAATATTTGTACACCTAATAGTAAGGAGAAAGAGGAGGAGTTGTAAATTTGGTGGATTGTGAGCTTATGTGAGTGTGTAGTGAGTTAATCTTATTCTCTTAATACTCTCTAAACTAACGATGAGAATTGAATTCGCGGACGCCCGAGTCAACGTCTTCCGAGTCTTGCGATGGACCTGATTTGCGCAGCTGGGTCGATATATATATATAATTTGCCTAATCTGGTTCTCATTTTTGCTGTTGTCTCGGAAGAAATTGCAAATTTTCAACGCCCTGGATCTCGTAGTATAGTCGGACCTCTGGATGACGAATGCAGATGGTAGTAATCACTTAGTCGCGCACTATGCTCTCGAATAAAATGACTTCGGCAAAACTGTTCGACTAAAACTAGCTGATTGCTTGGTTGGCAGAAGCTGTATAATAACTGGATAACTGGCAGACTAACTGCCGAAAAATGGATAAAAACTGAATGTCTTACTGACAGACTTACTGCCAAAAACTGGATAGAAAAACTGAATGTCTTACTGACAGACTTACTGCCGAAAACTGGATAGAAAAACTGAATGTCTTACTGACAGACTTACTGCCGAAAACTGGATAGAAAAACTGAATGTCTTACTGACAGACTTACTGCCGAAAACTGGATAGAAAAACTGAATGTCTTACTGACAGACTTACTGCCGAAAACTGGATAGAAAAACTGAATGTGCGGATCTAGCAAGCTCCCTTTTTATAGTTCGTCGATAGATCTAGGGTTGAGTCATTTTCCGGCGGGCTTCGCACACGTGATTCTGAGATGGATAGCAAAGTCTTATTTTCTATGATTTTAATCGAAGCGGCGGCGGTTGTTTTTATCAGATATTTCGTAAGATGTTTTGATCGTCTTTTAGCTGTTTCATTGTTCTTTCACTGGAAAATTTTATTGTATGAGACATCTAGTGTATGAGACATCTGTTTTTTATTTACCTAGAGAAGTTCTTCTTGTTTTTCTCGCGGTTACTCATGGATATATTTACTGATAACTGACGAAATGTTTAAAGAATTGTGGTGCAAGACGTTCTATTTACTGAGAGACTTATTTTTATTGCCAATCGACGATCCTTGCCGCAATTTCGCGGAAGGAAGGAATCGTGGAGTCGGCAGGACATAACACACATTTGTTTCTCTTTCTTCGGTAAAAAAGAATGTCTTGCCTATAACAAGTCAATTAAACGATGAATCGTTAGATTTTTTTGTGTATCATAAGAGAAACTTCTTCTTTCGAAACACAAAGTGTATTATATTTAGAATACCCTTACCTAATTGTAGCTAGTCATAGTAACAAAAGCTTACAAATAATTGGAGGGAATTGTAGTAATCACTGGAGATGTATTTTTTTTGACGGCACCAAACTTCGCGTGTACGATCACGCGGTCACGCGCCGATCGGCTGATCGCGACGATGTTTATTCTCGCTCGGGTTTTGATCGCGGCTTTTACCGTTCAGATTTGTCGGTTGAATTTACAGTTTAAATTTATCGATTAAATTCAACGTTTCAATCTTGAACAATATATATATATATGTATATATATATATATATATATGCATTTGATCATATTAATACAAACATATCTGATATAAAACATATTTAATATTAAACATATTTGATATAGAAAAGGAATAAAATTTTTGGAAATATTTCTACTGGAAATATCTTCAAAGAAACCAATAAAGATTATTGATATGCTAGTTCCATTTCGGATAGCGTCGTCGATTCGAGATGTTTACGCGCGCCTCACGGCGGTTTACTAAGCGCGTGTTTCTATTATCGTTTAAAAATGGGCGCTCGCCGCCACCGCACTTGCCCGACCGGTGTTTGTCGAGCGGCGGACTTCCGGCGGATCGGCGGCCGGGTACGGTGCAGTAACGATGGGGGATGCATCGTTACATCTGTTTATATTAAAATTTAAATAATTATCGGATAACTGTTTTTTTGAGAAGAGAAAAAGGGGATGAAATGAGAATAATAAAAAACTTCTAATAGACTCACTATTTGCTGCGTGGATAAATGACAAATTTGGAATTCTTGTTGGATAAGCAACCCAAGGTCTATCTCGTGGAGGCCTCAGCTGTCCGGAAGGGATGGCTCGGAGATCCGCTCAATTGTTGTGGCGTTGATTGATGCACTCAAGCGCACACCACACGTCACTTGTCCGCACGAATATTATAAATCTTTAATTTATATAAGATATAACTCTTTGCACTGGAACAACGCGCAGAGAACTGTGAGAATAGATTATCAAAACTTCAAAGTATCGATAAGAAAAAGCGAGCTGCAGACAGACTCGGTACAAGGCTTCGGATCGAGAGACGGAGATAGACTGACTTTTTTGAGGGAGGATTTCGCGTATCCTCGAATCTTAGCGTCTCCCCACGTACCCTCTCCATTAGGCAACCAGAACTCTTTTTTAACAAATCAAATCTTTACTTATTACCCCTCTCATGAGTTGAAAGTGTTACCCTTCCAAAAGAAGGTCCAGGAAATTGCGTCTATTGGTGTAGGCTTTTGTTTTTAGAAGCTAAGTCCTGCCCATTGGAGAGTCCGCTAAGTTGACATTTTTATTATTCCCTTCATTTATCTCAAACAGGTAACACAAGAGGATGGTCTGGCAGGCGAGCACATGGTGTCAAGTATCGCGAGTTCTTGTTACGGATCGTAGTTTCATCTGTAAACCATTGTCCCCGTCCCTTTCCTTATCCTTTGTTTTAAACTCTTAAGTCTGTTGCGCAAACCTTAGAGTTGAATATTTGATCCATCTGTTTGTTTTTCATATGCACATGGTCTACATTTCTAGCGTTCGAGGGTCTGTTATCTTCTGTTTAGAATTTTCAAGTCTTTGACGTAGGTCTTAGTTTCGGAATATTTATTAATCCGTCTCACGGTTAAAAAACTTTTTTATTGTTCCGGAAGATTAGTCTCGCCTGCTAGATATGTCTTGGTTTATTGTTTGCGTCGAGTGCAGAGAGGTTCTAAAGCGTAATTTTTTATATCAGTGAAAGAGTTTCCATGAAAGAAAAGAATCGTGGAGTCCACCGGACGTAACAGCCCCTTGCGACTTCTTTTTGTTCCCAAAAATTAAATTGAGGCTCAAGGGGCGACGTTTCGAGACGGTACAAGATGTCGTAACTCGAAATCGAATAACGTAATTACGACCTAACGCACTCAAGCGCACACCACACGTCACTTGTCCGCACGAATATTATAAGTCTTTAAATTATATAAGATATAACTCTTTGCACTGGAACAACGCGCAGAGAACTGTGAGAATAGACTATCAAAATTTCAAAGTATCGATAAGACAGAGCGAGCTGCAGATAGACTCGGTACAAAACTTCGGATCGAGAGGCGAAGATAGACTGACTTTTTTGAGGGAGGATTTCGCGTACATCAAATCTTGGCGTCTCCTCGCGTACCCTCTCCATTAGGCAGGTAGAACTCTTTTTTAACAAATCAAATCTTTACTTATTACCCCTCTCATGAGTTGGAGGTGTTACCCTTCCAAAAGAAGGTCCAGGAAATTGCGTCCATTGGTGTAGGCTTTTGTTTTTAGAAGCTAAGTCCTGCCCATTGGAGAGTCCGCTAAGTTGACATTTTTATTATTCCCTTCATTTATCTCAAACAGGTAACACAAGAGGATGGTCTGGCAGGCGAGCACATGGTGTCAAGTATCGCGAGTTCTTGTTACGGATCGTAGTTTCATCTGTAAACCATTGTCCCCGTCCCTTTCCTTATCCTTTGTTTTAAACTCTTAAGTCTGTTGCGCAAACCTTAGAGTTGAATATTTGATCTCTTCTTATACCGTGTTTTTACTAATGGGCTTTCAAGTTAAAATATTATTTGATCCGTTTGTTTGTCTCTTGCATGCGCGCTGTTTAGATTTCAAGCCTTCTCACGGCTCAAGTATCTTCTAGTTTCTGTTTAAAATTCCTGGTCTTCTAGCGGACCTTTGTGTTCGAATATTTATCGCGCATTAGGTTCTGAAATATTAGTCTCGCATGCTAGATATTCTTTAGTTTAATGTTTATGTCAAGTGCAAAGAGTTCTAGAGCGTAGGCGTTTAATATTACGTGAAAGAAAAGAATCGTGGAGTCCATTGTAACACCATATTTTTAAAATTTTCCTTTTTGCGTTCCCCTTTTCTTTCCCTGGCACTTCTATACTCCACTATGCCCTTCGAGACATTGTCAGAATCTCAAGCGACAATGTGTACATCTAGATACCATGTGTTTAGTTCTTCTGATAAGTAAATCATAACTACGTAGATGCAGTGCTAGAATGCTCAGCATTTCTCGATGTGGCTAAATACGCATAACTTATTAAGATTACTACATTAAAAAGAAAAAAAAGAGAAAATATATTATAGTCACATACAAGCATAATTTTTACATAATAGAAATAAAATATATATGCATATATTTCATATTAGCGAGAATATCATATTAGAATTAATCTTACGCATTTCTTTACAAATTTTATTGCTTTAATCTTGTAAGAATTCAATGATATAGTATTGATTCATCAATTACTGCACAAATAATGCATACTTAGCTAATTATATCCTCGCTTTTTGAATAAGTATTAAGTATCCTACTGTCGTAACCTGACCAACTTCTTAATATTAAAATATAAAACAAGTAAAGTAGAACAGAAAATATTGAGAAAGAGCTGACTAAAGCAAAGCATTAGAATCAGGGAAAGAACCCAAGGAAAAGTAATTAAGAAGGAATAAAAGAGTATTAATAAAATAAAAGTAAGACACGGTCAAGTTCTCGGAAGCTGAGTAAGCAGCTGACGAGACAGACTGACAAGCGGAGCACGAGACATGCTCCGGTCAGGGACACCACACTCCTCCCTAATTAACGACCTAATTAATTAATATATATTAAGCGCGAGATGCACCGACGCGAGCTCTGTAACATAGCTCATTAACATCGCTCGCTCACTCGCTCGCTCATATCAATAGTATCGATATACCGTACGTATCGCGCCCGACTATTATAACCGCGACTAACAATAAGTAAAAGTGTACAAGAATCTGTGAAATATATCAATTTATACCTAACCGTCCGGGAGTGTCTTATTTCGAGCGTGGATCCTAATTTTTTGGGCGTATAAATCCCTAAAGACCTCTTCCTTAGCGGCTAGAGGCACAACACTACTTATTGTTAGTTTAAATTTAGTATCAATTATTATGATATAAACACACTGATCATGTATTAACTCCCACAAAAATGAAAAAATGAAAACAAAATATATGTTAACAATTATATTATATAAATATTAAATACATAGAATAGGAAACTATATATGCATATTGTAAATTGCAAAAATGTTAAAACACTTCGCAATATTCATTCTTGTAAATCTAATCTGCGCTCTAATTGGGTTCAATTGTGGCGGACAACACCTTAATGTTACTTCAATATCACTGCTCGATGTTGGTGAATGCAACCTCAATTATCGAAAACCCAATACAAGTGAAACCTACGTTCAACTTTTGCAACTTTCTGACTATAATCACGCTGAAATCATTCAATGCAAAGTAGAGGTATCACGGGAAATCTACCATTATGGAATGCATTCACACGTCTCAGTCGTTCATAGAGCTCTGTTATACGGCACCCTTAATCGGGTTTAATAACATTCGTAGTTGTAAAACTGGCCAATCACAGCTATTCTTCTGAAGAATGGAATGACTGTGATTGGCCAGCCTTGGAACTACGGATGTTATTAAACCCGATTAAGGGTGACGTGTAAACGTAGTCAGTAAGGAAGAGTGGAGTTCATTCACGAAACTGGATATACACCATGTCGAAGAATGATTCAAGATGGAATTTTTTCATTGGGAGCTGGCAATATCATCCATGGTCTGAGAGTTAACGAAACCTCTTTCCATAATCTTACCCTGACCAGACGTATCAACAATGACGGAAGCTGCAAGGGTACTCAATATTCTGACCCTCATGGTACATGGGACGATGTTGTAGTTCAAGCTGTTGTCAAGATATCCTTGAAATCAGCACACGTTCCTGTACAACTAAATTCCAGGAAGATAATGTTGAGATCCAGAACTGTTTGCGCTCTTAGTGAAAGTTTCTACATCGATTTAAACGATAGCTATACGTATTGGAAACAAATAACAACATCATCCTGCAATTTTCATCAATATGATGTCCTCTATGAATGACCAGCAATCAAAATTGTGGATGATATAACCGACCCTGCATCCCTAATTCTCTACAGCCTAACAACGGAGGACATTACCTTTGCTCTTACCAAAACGAAGGAGCAACCCCTGTGCGGATATACCTTACTCTGCACAGAACATCCAAAACTTTTCATCTTTGAAACTAAAAAGGAAAATACCTTCGCCAGTCGGGATATCATTTCCGTGGACAATTTGGACACTTTTGCATATATGAATTTCAAATTCGTATATGTAGAAAAACATATCCGACACCAGATGACCTTACTACATCATAATGTGATGCAGCAGAAGTGCGAATTGGAAAGACAGGTAATAACCAATGCCTTGTCTTTCGCTACTCTTCAACCTGACGAATTCGCATATCAACTCATGAAGGAACCGGGCTATATGGCGGTCACAACTGGAGAAGTTACGCATATTGTTAAATGCATACCAGTGGAGGTCGTAATAAGAAAACAGAGGAATGTTACACAGAACTACCAGTAATTGTACGTAATATTTCCTTGTTTCTTACCCCTAAATCTCGAATAATCACTAAATTCGGGAATCAAAGGAAATGTAGCTAGGAACTACCTACAATATATCGCATAAAAAATACTTGGGTTCAATTCACACCTGAACCTCAAGTAAGACAACTACCTCCTCAGCAATTACGGCCATTGACAACCCTATCCTAGGATTATTTGACACCAGGACCCCTTGCCATCAGCGGAATATAATCCAAGAAGGATATAAAGAAGCTGAGAAATCACATTATGTTCGCCGCAGAAAAACCTGCACTCCTCAATACAATTGCTAGAGGATTCATTGGCCATTTCATCGATACAAACGCAATCTCCATGTACAACTTGCTAAATGAAGCTTTTTTTAATAAAATAGTAGAGAATGCCGCTTCCCGAGTATGGAATGGATTCATCACATTTGGTTTTGCAACCGCAGGCATATTCAGCATCATGATAATCATCCGCATTATAAAGATTATTGTTGATACAACCATTCATGGATATGCCTTATGGATGGACATCCATACTGCTTATGGATGGAGTTTACATTTACTGGGAGCCGTCTGGAGCTCTCTCACTCATTTGTTACTTCATCTTGCACGTGGACTAATTAACAAAAACCCCAACAATGAAGATGACGGACCATCACCATCCGCACCTGAAGAATCACCCTTATCGCCCTCAGAACCACCAACGATTGATAATTCTCTAAACCCAAACGAAAATGCTGGATCCAACATCGAATCAGCAACCATAGATATTACTCTCAGAATTCATATATTTAAAAATCTGACAAACCGATTGAAAGGTCTCGAACAAATCACTACGAAAACATTATAATTTGTTCTTAAATAAGGGGGGAGGTGTGACGTCCCGTCATTTTCGAAACCATATTTTAACTAATAATTAAGTACCGTTTCTATTCTTGTATTATACCTATGGAATATAGAACAATTTTTTAACCATTTTCTTTTATTTCAGTTATTAATCAATTTCATCAATTGCTTATTGTTTTAGTTCTATATGGTTATTTAACTTAGAAATTAACTATATTTTAGTTTTTTAAATAATAATAATCGATTGCGCAAGGAATTGAAGATTCCTTGGACCGACCAATCAGAAGGCTTTATTTAGAACTAGGTAGTTGCGCAGTAGTAACTTTCTAGAACTGACGGACGGTTACTTTAAGAACAGGCTTGCGAGCGAACTTTAACATAATCAGCGATACTAATACTTAGGCCGGTATTCATAGTCCGTTTTTATATCCAAGATCGTCTTAAGTGTGGTCTTGGGTCGTCTTAAGATCCCATTCAACCAATGAAATGGCCGCATAGTATCTTAAGATCGTACTTAAGACGATCTTGAATATAAGAACGGACTATGAATACCGGCCGTAGTATCGTAATCACTTGTGTTAGGGAAATTAGTGATCATTAGCCTAGGTGACAGATGATACCAGAGAGAAACCTGAGAGGGGCCACGCCGCCATTTTTCATTTAACGGAGCGAACTTTAACATAATCAGCGATACTAATACTTAATCTTTAAGATTTTAATTAATTATATGATAAGTATTTTTGCATAAACGCGAAAAATATAATTAAAATAAATAAAATAAGAGAATATGCGCACTACTCTATGGAATCGTAAAATGCGCGCAATAATAATTTGTTAAAAATATTTTTCTTGCACCCTTTGCGAATAATTATAAAACTTTCAATATTATCTAAATTGTATTTGTAAAATAAAGAACAATAATTTGATAACTTCATGATAACTAATCAAAAACAAATTATAAAACGTTTCCATAAACTGATCATTACTATGAATTAATATATGCTTTGTAGTAGCATTAGCCAAGCGATTGCAAATAATATATAGATTTAAGAAACCTACATTTATGGAATCATGGATTATATAGTACATATATAACAATTTATCCGGAATAACTTCTTTTAGTCATGGAATACTAAAACTCGATAATTTCTAAATTAACTACCAGACTTGAAACAAATTTAACAAGTGATTCCATAAATTAATATTCATAAGTATTAATATTCATTTTTCTTTAATATTCTATAGCTTTTTCGTGTTATACTATAGCTCTAATATTGTAAAACTATCCGAGATGAAAGGAAAGCGTATAGAAGATGCATCCGAGACACCTGATACGGCGAGCGATAAACAGGTGCGTAGATCCGCGGCGCCTCCGAGTAATCCGCGGCATAGACGCCAAGACATAAACAATCGATAAGGATTTACCACTAATCAATAGGCAACTCTTAGAAACAGTTTCATCATAAATTTCCGTAGAAGATCTTCATCTTAATGAATTTCTAGAACGCAAACTAAATTTCCAGAACGATCTGCACAGGGCTCGCAACACCTTTGATTCTTAATAGTATATAAACTACGGATTTCAACCCTCAGCACTCGCAGTGCGGCAGCGCCTCTTGTCAGATCATCTTAGTCTAGTTTTCATTCATTATACAGTCAGTCTTGCGTTAGATTCATAAGTTCAAGTTGTGTAAAGTCCGGAATAAAAGACTTTGTGCATATATCTGCGTACATCAATTCAGCCTATCTCATCCACGACCGAGGTCCTTGCAGACGAGAAAGAAGGGCTTAACAAAGAACAGGGAGTACAATGAACATTGAGCAAAAGAAGGATTCCTTGCTGCAATATGGTAAGTACCTACATTTACTAACACCCCGAATATTTGCAAACAAAGGAAATTTTATTTTAGAATCTGCAATTGACTGACAGCCCATTAATTTCATTCCAAGTTATTACCTTAATTCCTATTCCAGCATTTTGAATGTTTTGCGACATATATTCTTACATCCTTTTTAATAATAAAAGAAACCATCACTCCCAGACAGCACAAGTATGTTCTATAAACATTCATAGAATAACATCGGAGAATGTTTGAATATTCTTAGAATATTATTACATGATACTTCGGAGTTTTTGTGAATCCTTAATGGAACATTAGAAGTAGACAAAAATCACGTATTGTGAATGTCCTATGAATATTCAAATCACTTCACATAATAGTTCCTTAATAATTTCTTAAATATTATGAGAACATTCTTTGGATATTAAATAAACTTTTAGAGAACATTCTGCGTATTTTGATAGAATCTTTTTAGGATATTCTATGAATATTTGGATGAGCGAGTATAGGTAATGAAAGAAAAAAGATATAGATACAAATAATATAGATTTTATATTATATAATTAATATATATTGTGGGGTTGTGCGGAGGCTCGCTGGCTTTCTTACCCCACGGTTCGCAAACAGGGAGTGGTCGTGGAGAGGTAGTCTTCAATGAACACGTTCGATTTACTATGTACAGAAATATATTCTTACATAGTTACGTAATTACATAATTACGTAATTACAAGTTCACTGGTTATATACAGGTGTTTATTTTTAGATTTGTTTGTTTGTGGCCCTGAAAAGGGCCGATTGAACGCGGGTGTATGCGTTAGGACAGGCGTTCTCGCCACTGGATATGAGGTGCCGTCGAAGTCATCCGGGATGGTCCTCACTTCCGGAGCGCGGGCGGAGTCCCGGGAGAAGTGTAACTCCGTTCCGGCGATGTCGGAACGTCTGTCTGCGTGGCCCGGTGTTGCGTCATTTCCTTCCAGTCTGAGAGGTCGGACTGCGTGGCTTTCTCGCAGGTGTTGTTGGAAGCCTGCGTCGCCTTCTCGTATGTGGAGGAGTGAACCTGAGTGCCGCGATGCACTCTGCTCTCGGGCTGTGTCTGGGTCCCTCGGGCTGTCCGCTCCGAAGGTGAAAGTGGTAGCGGAGAGAGCTTAGACGGCCACTTCCACCCGTAGGTCGGCGAGGTATAGCGCCGGTCTCGTACGTCCCACGTCGAGAGTAACTCCCGTCCAGGGCGTGTGCGATGCACCGGCGATAATTATTTCGCTTCGCTGATGTCCTTACATACTGTCACTCAACGGATTTCACTTGCTGGTAGCGGCTCTCGCTTGGCGCCGCATTTCGGTGGGCTCCCGAAGTTCCTGCGGGCTTGCTCATGTTCGGCGCTTGTCTTCGAGCATACTCGATGGTTCGATTTTCGCTTCATTAGATTCCACATTGATTGTATTTTCGACAAGTTGTTTTAGAGGTTCGATAATTGGTTTAAAGTGCCTCTCCAATACGACGTCTTTCTCCATTTGACCGGTTTTGAAAGAACGATATTTTTTGCGGATCGATTCGCTCGTTTTTACAATCTCTCACGCAATCTTCTCACGATCATCGCTGTCAATTGTCGTCGTCATGTTGCGCTCGGACAAAAATTTTTAGACCTTGCTCGATCGATGTATCGGGTGAATATTTTCTGTTCTCTATTCCCTGTTCTTTATTCCTTTTATTGTGCATAGCCCCTTAAGCCCATATCAGACTACTACATGACTACAAAGCTAGATGGACGGGATCCGATATAGCCCATATTATACTGATAGCATAAAGCCCATATCAGACTACATTGAAAATTGAGGTTCAATATTCAAGATTGAATTTTGACCAATCAGGACAAAGAAATTTTAGTCCCTTTTGTTCTGATTAGTCAAATTCCAATCTTTAATCTTCAATCTTCAATTTTCAATGCGTAGTCTAATACGGGCTTAATTCTTGACCCCTTGCCCATCGGTTTCGCGCGGTTCCCCTCCCCCTCTCCGCGGACCCCTCGCCAGCCGATTTCGTGCGGGTCCCCCTCCCCCTCTCCGCGGACCCCTCGCCTACCGATTAGGTTAGGTTAGGTTAGCGGGTTCCTCACCTATCGGTTAGGACGCGGTCCCCTTCCCCCTCTCCGCGGACCTTTCGCCAACCAGTTAGGACGCGATCCCCCGCGTGACGTCATACCCCCCGCGCCGGTTTTCCCTCGCCCCTCTCCCCCCCCCCCTCAAAGGACCTGCGTTAGAACTTTTCTAGGTACACTACT